CAGGGAGATCAGCTCGGTGCTTTGTGACCACCTAAAGGGGTGGGATAGGGAGGGTGGGAGGGAGGGAGATGCAAGAGGGAAGAGATATGGGGATATATGTATATGTATAGGTGATCCACTTTGTTATAAAGCAGAAACTAACACACCATTGTAAAGCAATTATACTCCAATAAAGATGTTAAAAAAAGAAAAAAAGAAAAGAACTATACAAAAAAAAACACTGAGTGGGAGGCATAAAGTGGAGGAAAAAGTACAGATGAAACAAGACAGAATGTTGTGAAGCTGGGTGATGTGTACATGCAAGTTTATGCTGTTTATTTTGTATATGTTGAACTTCTTCCATAATAAAGACTTGAAATGAATTATTCCTTGTGAGACGTTTGTAAAAGCAAAGTCAATTCAACTCTAGCCGATCAAATCAAAGCAACTGAGAAGAATTTTCCTGATGGAATCTAATGTAATCCACTTTCCAAAAAGGCAGTTTCTTCACATACCCAACTGATATCTTTTGGGGTTACATTAAGGTACTATTTTCTTGGGGCTTCCCTGGTGGTGCAGTGGTTAAGAATCCGCCTGCCAATGCAGGGGACATGGGTTCGAGCCCTGGTCTGGGAAGATCCCACATGCCGCGGAGTAACTAAGCCTGTGCGCCACAGATACTGAGCTTGCACTCTAGAGCCCGTGAGCCACAACTACTGAGCCCTCGTGCCACAACTACTGAAGCCCGCAGGCCTGAGAGCCCGTGCTCTGCAACAAGAGAAGCCACTGCAATGAGAAGCTGGTGCACCGCAATGAAGAGTAGCCCCTGCTCGCCACAACTAGAGAAAGCCCGTGCACAGCAACAAAGACCCAATGCAGCCAAAAAAAAAAAAAAGTTTTTTTTTAAAAAAGAGGGGCTTCCCTGGTGGCGCAGTGGTTAAGAATCTACCTGCCAATGCAGGGCACATGGGTTCGAGCCCTGGTCCAGGAAGATCCCACATGCCTCAGAGCAACTAAGCCTGTGCACCACAATTATTCAACCTGCGCTCTAGAGCCCACGAGCCACAACTACTGAAGCCCCCACGCATAGAGCCTGTGTTCTGCAACAAGAGAAGCCACCGCAATGAGAAGCTCACGCACGGCAACGAAGAGTAGCCCCCGCTTGCCACAACTAGAGAAAGCCCGCGTGCAGCAACGAAGATCCAACGCAGCCAAAAATAAACAAATTTAAAAAAAAGAGGAAACCAAAGAAGATAACAAAAAGATACTATCTTCTTTCTCTCTATCATAACAGGTAATGCTCTCAGACACTTCAATGATCTAACTTGATTTTTTACACATACTGTACTAATAATTAAGATTTGCTTTAAAATGAAAAAATAATTTAATCTGTATTTGAGGATGCCTTCAGGCAAAGAGAGTGAATAAAGGACTCTGTGGATGCCAGCGATGCCATTAAGTTGGAATCAGAACTCAGACTGCCCACTGAAAGGAGGAAGCATTTAGGATTGAGCTAGAAATAATTTTGTTTCAGAGAAGAAACTAAACCCATCCAAGATGTTTATGATTGTTGGTTTTACTTCATCAGTGTATTTTGTTATTCAGATCCTCAAGGAAGTCTGTTCTCAGTAACATTTATCAAGTGAAACAAAATGATCTTAATTTTATCCTTCTGGGTAGATAGAGGTGCTTTTCAACTACAAAATGACTTCATCTGTTCAGAGTTTAGATTTATTTACCTTTATTTATTTTAGCTAGAGTTGAAGTATTTTGAAAACTATCATTTTTAATCCTCCATATTCACTCCTTACCTGAAGTGAATTTTGCTTGAACTCGATTGATTTCACCTCTCAGTAAATATGAAATCATTCTTAAATGAATTACGTTTGGTGTATTTTGTGTACTCAGATATGCACTGACCCATTTAATGTATTCTCAGGAAGTTTAGAGATACATTTTCCAATTTATCTGAGCAGAAATTGGTGAGCTGTGAATGAATATAGCCATGATGAACCATCATTGAATTCCAGGGTATCCACTCAAATATAATTCACCTTTCACACTACCTTATTTGGTCTATATTTATAGGACCTAGTGTCATCCTTGTTGTGAGAGACTGGTAGAGGTGATTCTTGAATGTTTGTTTTCTGCATTGCATATGCTCTTACAACAGGGCAATATATTTGGACCTTGATTAATTACTTAATATAGCAGGGAAATTTAACCCAAAAGTTACAATAAAATGAAGACCACTAATAAAATCATGACCATTTCTACCCATACAAAAATGCAGGGAATCCTAAAATGCTTACTTATGACAGATACCTGATTGCTCCTAGTCCCTCTTTTAAATACTTTAATTTGATTAGATACTTCTATCATAAGTATTTCTTGGCCTCAATTTTCCTAATAGCCTAATTGTTCCCTGTACTGTGCAGGTGTGCCCACAAAACAAAGTAAGTATGTTGTTCATATCATTTTATTAGCCATATAATTTAGAGAAATGATTGTGTATTTTAAGATTGGTCTTGCTAACCAACTTTTGCATTTTGTATAGTTTGTTGATGGGACAATTAAATAGTATACTTGGATTCAGAAATTATACTGCTCCTCAGAGATAAACTGCCAATGAATACAAGTTGGTTATAGGAAGTTTACATTACCTGAGGGAATGATTCTTAAATGTGTTAGTTCGCATCAGAATCACTTAAGAAGTAAGACTGAAGTGCAAATTTCTGTTAGTACTGCCAGAGAATTTGATTCAAGTTCTGGAGGGGAGCTCAGGAATTGACTTTGAAAAAACACCCCGAGACTCCCAGTTAAGTCTTTATGCATGTGTTTCACACACTACAGTTTAAGAAACACTGACTTTTAAAAAAACCTTTTAATGCTCAGATTTTGGATGTGGTGTTGACCTGCAGCACCCCACGAAGTTATTAATTTGAACGCATGGTGGCAGTGCAGGCTAAGAGAGTGGATAAAAGCTCTGCATTCAGTGGACTCCATTTCACGGAGAAACCCAAGAAAAAAATACAGAACACACAGCTAAAGCTAAGATAGAAGTGTTCGGGGAGCGGACGCCACCAGACAAATTATAAGAACGAATTTGAAATTTTATAGCAGACATTTTGGAGGGTCAACGGTGGACGTGGTGATTGGGATTGGAAAAGGATTTTTCCTCTGGAACCAGACATAACAATGGAGATGGTGCAAACAAAAGTACATCTTAAGAAAAGGCAAGTGGTGATCTTCATTATATTGATTCTTTTGTGGGAGGCAGGTTCAGAATCGATTCAGTATTCTATACTGGAGGAGACAGAAAGTGGCACATTTGTGGCCAACCTGACAAAGGACCTGGGACTCACGATGGGAGAGCTGGCTGCCCGGGCCGCCCGAGTTGTTTTTAAGGGGAATAGGCAATATTTGCAGTTTGATCCAGAGACCTATGATTTGCTGCTAAATGAAAAACTGGACCGGGAGGAGCTTTGCGGCTCTACTGAGCCCTGTGTGCTACCCTTCCAAGTGTTACTGGAAAATCCCTTGCAGTTTTTTCAGGCTGCCTTGCTAATTAGAGATATAAATGACCACGCCCCAGAGTTCCCCGCTAGAGAAATGCTACTAAAAATATCAGAAATTACTACGCCAGGAAAGGTATTTCCTTTGAAAATGGCACAGGATTTAGACGCTGGTAGCAACAGCCTTCAGAGCTACAAAATCAGCTCCAATCCTCACTTCCACGTTCTCACAAGGAACCGCAAGGACGGCAGGAAGTCCCCAGAGCTGGTACTGGACAAGGCGTTGGACCGTGAGGAGCAGCCCGAGCTCAGGCTAATCCTCACAGCGCTGGATGGCGGGTTTCCGCCCCGGTCTGGGACCACAAAAATTCAGATCGTGGTCTTGGACATCAATGACAACGCCCCCGAGTTTGCTCAGGAGTTCTATGAGGCCCAAGTCCCTGAAAATAGCTCCCTGGGCTCTCTGGTTCTCACCGTCTCAGCAAGAGATTTAGACGCAGGATCCTTTGGGGAGGTATCTTATGCCCTATTTCAAGTCGATGATGTTAACCAACCCTTCGAATTAAACGCAAATACGGGAGAAATTCGACTGAGAAAGACATTGGATTTTGAGGAATTTCAATCATATCAGGTGGATGTTGAGGCCACAGATGGTGGGGGACTATCAGGAAAATGCAGTTTAGTCATCAAGGTCCTGGACGTGAATGACAATGCTCCCGAATTGACTATGTCGTCACTTACCAACCCCATCCCTGAAAACCTGCCTGAGATCATAGTGGCAGTTTTCAGTGTATCAGATGCAGATTCTGGACATAACCAACAGGTTACTTGTTCTATAGATGACAATCTCCCCTTTCTTCTAAGACCATCCGTTCAAAATTTCTACACCTTGGTAACAGAAGGAGCGCTGGACAGAGAGAGCAGAGCCCAGTACAACATCACCATCACCGTCACCGATATGGGAACCCCCAGGCTGAAAACCGAGCACAACATAACCGTGCTNAACGGCGAGGTGCGCACGGCCCGGCTGCTGAGCGAGCGCGACGCGGCCAAGCACAGGCTGGTGGTACTCGTCAAGGACAATGGCAAGCCGCCGCTCTCGGCCAGCGTCACGCTGTACGTGCTGCTGGTGGACGGCTTCTCGCGGCCCTACCTGCCGGCCCCGGAAGCGGAAGCGGCGGACGCGGCCCCGGACGCCCCGCTCACCGTCTACCTGGTGGTCGCCTTGGCGTCGGTGTCGTCGCTCTTCCTCTTCTCGGTGCTGGTGTTCGTCGCGGTGCGGCTGTGCAGGAGGGGCGGGGCGACTTCGGTGGGTCGCTGCTCGATGCCCGAGGGCCCCTTTCCGGGCCACCTGGTGGACGTCAGCGGCACGGGGACCCTGTCCCAGAGCTACCAGTACGAGGTGTGTCTGACGGGAGGCTCTGGGACTTTCAAATTCCTCAAGCCGGTTGTCCCAAACTTCCTTACTCAAGATGAGGAGAGGGTTAGTGAGGCAAACCCCAGTTTCAGGAATAGTTTTGAATTCAGTTAAATTTTAATAAGGGTCTATGATGCCGTCTCAGTTAAATTGTGGAAAGTCCTTTTTTACTACCTTGCCCATTGGAGTTGTTTTCTTTGTATTTGAAACGTAACTATCTTATTCCAATTCACCGCATGTTACTGGTGTTTCTAGATGTGCTGCTCTGTGGTATAATGAATGCAAATTTTCCTTCTTACTGTTAATATCACTGTAACTTAATTCGATTTAATGTGTGAAAGTATATTTTGTATTTTCTGAAGTCTTTAATTTTTAGAGCACTTTTTTTCAAAATTCACCTTCCACAGTCCCTGTGGAATTTTTTTCTGGTAATTTTTGCATTCCTACATTTTTGAAAGTTTGCAATAAGTACACAGGGTTACTTTTTCCTACCCAGAATATTTGTGTTTGTATAGAGTATTCTCTTAGGCTAGTTTAAACTTTCTTCCTGTGAACTCACATTGGCTAAAACCATTAACATAGGTACATTCATGAATAACAAAGCACCCTCTCACACTTTTCTAAATATATACTTCCTTAAAATGTTCATACCTGATAATTATGATTCTTTAGAGATTGTGAAAACCTTGACTGTTGGATTCTACAAATCATACACATTAAAAGTCTTCAATAAATCAACTACCAATATTCTAAAATGTAGTTAAATAAATAGCAATGTCCAGTCATTTTCAGACATGCTAATTATTCATGCTTTTTATTAAAAATTTTAAAACCTCTGATTGTTTCAATCCCTCCATTTAAAAATCTGTCTTAATTATTTAAAACCATCTATTCTTTGAGTACTTCATTAAAATCCAAAAGATCTGAGAGAGTGCATGTTTTTGTCTATGACCAAATTTTAGAAACTTCATATGTAATTTGGCATTGCATTTTAAAAAAAATATCTGGAGCATTTATGATTCAATTGGAAATAAGCCCATGGAAAAAATATTTATCTTGGTTTGCTCATTCTATTTTTTTTTCACTGACTACTTCCATTTTCCCCGTTTCAGTTTCCTGGACTTTTCAATGCTTTTTGGTTTCCTTTTTAGTGCTTGAGTTATGTTTCTCAGTAGCTCTCCATTTACTGCATGATTAGCACAATGACTGCAAGACTAGGTTCTTCATAAAACTTTTAAATGACTGATTGAAGGAAAAAAATGTCTTTATTTCATCTGTGATATACTGACACTCAAATACATTAAAATACTCACAGGACAAATTTTGCTGGAATTAAATGCTCTCTGATTTAATTTTTGGTTATTAACAGAACTTCACTGTTATTCAAACATTGTGCAGTTATTAGTGCTTGGTGTCTCCTTCCTTCAAGATATTTTTCCTTTTTCTTTTTCTGCTTAATTTTAATCTCCTCTCCTGCCCACTAGCTTAAGGAATCCACATGGGGAAACTGTGTTTTCAATTTTATGATTTATATTTTCCTTCCATAATTCCTTAAATGATTCATTTAACTTTCCTTATTCTTATTTATTTCTTGCAGTTCAATTTCTGATCCACACATTAAAACGGAATTTTAATTTTTAATGTTCTTCAGACTGTCTTTAAATTTTTATATTATTTTATGTTTATTTGAACATACTATTAAAATTATAATATAAAAGTTAAAGGTGTCATTTTGAGTTTAGCATTCATATAGAGAAGTATCTTGGTATCAAATTACCTGTTGGATCTAGGATAAGTCGTATAATTTCTGTACCCCCAGAAATGATAACAGCTATTTAAATAGCTTGCAGTTATGTTCAAATAAGATAACATAAGGATAAGAAGTGTAATTTTGTTATTTTTAGTATCACTAATATTAAGAGTAAATTTAATAAATGGTCCTTCATATAACATTACTTATAATTGTGAAGAAGCTATAGTGAACACATGATATTTGTGCTGTTTCGTTGCTCTGCCCAAAACCTTGCAATAGCTTCCTTTCACTCTTAGAATAAAATCCAGCCACCTATTATTTGGCCCCTGCCTCCCTGTCCAGCCTTCTCTTCCCACTTACTCTTTTTTTTTAATAGGTGATATTTATGTTTCTTTTTTTTTTTAATGTCTATTTATTTATTTTTGGCTGCGTTGAGTCTTCGTTGCTGCGCACCAGCTTTCTCTAGTTGCCACGAGCTAGGGCTGCTCTTCGTTGTGGTGCATGGGCTTCTCATTGTGGTGGCTTCTGTTCTTGCAGAGCACGGGCTCTAGGGCGTGCGGGCTAATTTAGTCCTCGCCATGTGGGATCTTCTGGACCAGGGCTCGAACCCGTGTCTCCTGCATCGGTAGGTGGATTCTTAACCACTGCGCCACCAGGGAAGCCCCCCACTTACTCTTGAGACACTAAACTTTGGGTACACTATCCTACCTTCATTATCTAGAATAGCTATGCTTTACTGTCCCCGGGCCTTTGCATTCCTTATATATGGAATCTTCCCATTTTAGTTTTAGCCTGGCAAACTTCTTCTCATCCTTCATATTCCAGATTAAATGGGACATCTTTGGGAAGCTTTCTGAATCCCCCCCCATTAAGTTAGGTCTCCATATTGTATATATACTTCCAGTGCACTCATTATACATTTCCTGAATAGTACTGTTTAAACATCTGTTTAAACTCTGTTCACCCCATTAGATGGGAAACTCTATAAGATATATAGACATAGTCTGTCTTATTACCACAATACATCTAACTTCTACAAACGCAATAAATATGGGTTTCCACAGGTGAAATACAGTTATGCAGATTAAAGAGTTAATACAGATGAAACCAGTAATCATAGAATTACTGTGAAATAGGAAGAGGAGAAAGCTCTGTGTTCCTTGAGTGAGTGCGAAAATGTGGAAGGAATTAGGCATTTGTGGTCTCTGGATATATCCCCTAACATGATCTATTATAATTTTTTATCACCTTGCTTGAGGTTGTCTTTTCGTAGCATTTTTCTGACTATAAATGCAACTCGTGTGCATTTTACAAAATTTGGAAGATAAAGAAAAACACAAGTAGGAAAGCGAAGCTTCATCACTTAGAGCAAATCTTTTTCTGTAATAATTACAGGAGGTGGGGTGAGTAGTTCTAGCAGGTGCCCACTTCCGCAAAATCATGGAAATGGGACTCTACCAGGGACAGTCACTTCTTTTAGATAAGAGCGCATTTCTTCTCCCTAGATTGTGTTTATTTGAACCATATAACAGAAGAAATTCCTACAGTAGCATCAACTCGGTTTGATAAAAGGGAATAAGCGATTAAAAAAATCAAAACAAAAAGCCCAGCAAACATCACCTTCTCCAAGATTTTGAAACTGTGAGCGAACGCACGGTGGCGCTGTTGACTAAGAAGGAGAATTAAACCGCAGGCACTGTGTATATACTCTGTAACACAACGATTCAGTGCAGTAAACTAGGGGTTGTGAGCCGGGGCAGATTTTTAAGCAAGCAAATCTAAGACTCTGGTAAGGATTATTTGCTAGGTTTTCTTCAAAGGTTTGGAGGCAAAAGACTGCGTTTCCCAGTGCTCTTGGAGGCTGGCTTGACAATACTTCTCGGAAGAACAGGGCAGAAAATGCAATGGAGGCCGGAGGAGAGTGCTTTCTTAGACAAAGGCAAGTCCTGTTTCTCTTTGTTTTTCTGGGTGGGTCTCTGGCTGGGTCCCAGTCGAGACGCTACTCTGTGGCTGAGGAAAAAGAGAGGGGGTTTTTCATCTCCAATCTAGCAAAGGATCTGGGGCTGAGTGTAGGGAAACTGGCCGCGAGAGGGGCCCAAGTTGTGTCTAAAGGGAACAGACAGTATTTTCAGCTCAACCATCAGACCGGTGATTTGCTTCTGCATGAGAAATTGGACCGGGAGGAGCTATGCGGCTCCGCAGAGCCATGCATACGGCAGTTTCAGATATTACTGCAAAACCCCTTGCAGTTTATTACAAATGATCTCCAGGTGATAGACGTAAATGACCATTCTCCAGCATTCTCTGAAAATGAAATGCAGCTGAAAATCCTAGAAAACACTCCACCAGGAACAATAATTCCTTTGGGAAATGCTGAAGACTTGGATGTGGGAAGAAACAGTCTCCAAAACTACACGATCACTCCTAATTCCCATTTCCACGTTCTCACACGCAGTCGTAGGGATGGAAGGAAGTACCCAGAACTAGTACTAGACAAAGCACTGGATCGTGAGGAGCAGCCAGAGCTTAGGTTAATGCTCACTGCGCTGGATGGCGGGACTCCACGGAGGTCTGGGACCGCCCAGGTCCACATCCTGGTCTTAGACATAAACGACAACACCCCAGAATTTACACAGTCCCTCTATGAGGTTCAAGTTCTAGAGAACAGCCCCGTTAACTCTCTTATTGTCACTGTTTCAGCTTCTGACTTAGATACAGGAAATTTGGGGACAATATCATATGCATTTTTTCACGTTTCTGAAGAAATTAGAAAAACTTTTCAACTAAATCCAATTACTGGTGATATCCGACTAATCAAATATTTGAATTTTGAGGCGATCCATACTTACGAAGTGGACATAGAAGCCAAGGATGGTGGAGGCCTTTCAGGAAAATCAACAGTGATAGTTCAGGTGGTTGATGTGAACGACAACCCACCAGAACTGACCTTGTCCTCAATTACCAGCCCTATCCCAGAGAACTCGCCAGAGACTGTGGTGGCTGTTTTCAGTGTTTCCGACCTAGACTCTGGAGACAATGGGAAAATAGTGTGTTCCATCGAGAACGATCTCCCCTTCATCCTGAAACCATCTGTAGAGAATTTTTATACCCTACTGTCAGAAGGAGAACTGGACAGAGAGATCAGAGCCGAGTACAACATCACCATCACCGTCACAGATATGGGAACCCCCAGGCTGAAAACCGAGCACAACATAACCGTGCTGGTGTCCGACGTCAACGACAACGCCCCCGCCTTCACCCAGACCTCCTACACCCTGTCCGTCCGCGAGAACAACAGCCCCGCCCTGCACATTGGCAGCGTCCGCGCCACAGACAGAGACGAGGGCGCCAACGCCCAGGTCACCTACTCGCTGCTGCCGCCCCTCGACGCGCACGTGCCCCTGGCCTC